GGGAGGGGGGGGGGCTAGCAATGCATCAATCGAAAAATCAAAACAATGGGGGAAAAAAATTGTAAAAATGGAGTGGCCAGCTGTAGTGCAAAGAGTTCGAGGGCTTGGCAGCGAAAGGGTTAAAGTAAACATGTAATACTGCCTTGAAAAGGTATAACACACAAAAATAAAAAAAACAAAACACTTTACAAATCTTGAAATAAAATACTAATATACATTTTGTAAGAAAATTTATATTAAGTTTCAAAATCAGAGCTCCAAACAGCAGTTGACAATTTATGGCAAATAATGAGTCCATTTCACAGTCTAAGAATTTGGTAGTGATTATGATGCAATGCATTACTGCCTTTTCACTATAAGTGTGTATACCTGCTTGGGTGGCAACTTCAGGCCCCATTCACATTGAGCGATGCGCGTTTGTCGCGCGATTTGCATTTTGCGCGATATCACGCAAATGCTTGCATTGAGCAAGCTAGAATCGCGGCAAAATACGCTCCAAAAAGGGTCCTGCTGTAGCGACGCACGACCCGCGACAGACAGAGCCCCATTGAGATGCATTGGAGAGCGATATCACGCGGTAAATAGCCGCGATATCGCAGGAATTACCGCGCGATAAATTGCTCAATGTGAATGGGGCCTCATGTGACTTTAGATCAAAATGCGGATTTACAATAACCACAAAGTCTCTAATCTAGATTTGGCTGTACACGAGTACAGTATATGATCTGTTGGTTATCTGGTTGGGTTACTCCCAAGATTTTATTTCTGCCAAGTTCACCCAAGTTTGATATTTTAATTATAGGAGGACTGAATAATAACATGCATTAGATACGCCAACCATAATTTGCTGGTCGCTGAGTTTTACCAAGGAGTTTTGAGTGTCTCCACTCCTCCTGTAGCTGTAAAATGAGTATCAGAATTCCTTATGGTTTTCTTTTTTCCAGGTCAAAGACTCTAAAAGAACTCAAACAAAAGCATCTGCATAAGGGCTGTGGCGTTGGCAATATCAAAAGGAGTAGTCAATGGCAACCCCCATACTTTTCACTTTAAGGATGAATAGTTGACTGATGGACAATTCAGACCTCAAAATTCAACATACCTTCCAGAGGTGTTTCCACGTCCATTGCAGAACCATTTTTTACTTGTATTGCAGTAGACCACACAAGCAGGGTCATGAATACCACAGTAACTGTAAATAAAGTATAGTATTAGATTTGATGAGGACATTCTGGGCAGCTAAATTATTTTCATATCTAAGATAATCTATCTGAATTTATAACATGCAAAACCATTACTTTTTCTAAATAATTTAAAATTACAAAATAAACTGCTGAATGGGTGTGGCCAAATTTGTGCTGCACCAAGTCTACAGATTTGTATTCATATTACAATTAGTAATAGAAAAACAAAAGCACCAAGCAGCTGAACGACCTAAATCAGGGGTCTACAACTCAATTCACGCAGAGGCCACTAGACAAATTTTTCTCTCCCATGGGGGGCGCTTGCCAAATTTCATACTTCACACACATAGAAATACACAAATGGAAATATGCACAACCCCCCACAACCATAAATACACACACAATAAGGCTCCATTCTCACCTGTATGTTTAGGTGTGATTAGGGATTCGTGCGTCAGGAACCCGCGATGTCCTGCAGCAGGAAACTCTAATGTGGTGCTCACATGTGGCAGCTGTAACCAATTTAAGTTAATGATCAGGTGACAGCCACTGCATGTAAACGCCTGCACATCGCATGTAATATGATTACATGTGGTTAGGAATCAATCATTATCCCTGGACCCACGATCGATGCATCCACGGAGAATGATTCCTAACCACATGTAAATCATAATTAGACCCCTGATCTAAATACTATATACCATATGTACATCTGAGAAGGATTAGAACACCCGTCTGGTTTTTTATTGCGATCTGTGTCCCCATTAGAGAGATTCACCTTCTCTGTGCTGGTGACCATTATCACTGAACGTGAAAGAAAATCCCATCAGAACAGGAATAGATGGGAAATCTTTCAATAGGGACACTTGTTCTGATGACCCTCCTGACCACCAGGGATTTCCTCTCAATTCCCATTGTGGCAAATGGGCAGGAGGTGAAGGGAAATCTCCCCAATGGGACACAGATGGCAAAGAAAAAAAAAAGGTTTTGGCTTCAGTTCTACTTTCTGCCTGGCCCACCCAAAATTCCAGCGGTGACCATCTTTAAACTTGACAGGTGCCCAGATCCTATTTAATATATTGCTGAACAGACACAATATTAAATGAGTCATCCCGTGGTGGTCCAGTGGAGGATCAGTATGTGGTGCCGCTGCTCACAGGCAGGGGCGACTAGTATGATCTACATCAGCCACACATGCAGATCACACTGATCCTCCACTGGACCCCAGGGAAAATTACTACATTAATCTTACTGGTTGAGCGTGATGCGAGAGATGGGTGCGAGAGATGGTTGCGCGAGGGGCGTGATATGAGCATGCGAGTGCGTGCTTGATATGAGAATGTGATAGGAGAATGAGTGTGTGATGTGTTTTAGGAGTGTGTGTGAGATGTGTGTGATTTATTGCGTGTGAGATGTGTGTGTGTTTTTAATCTCTTTTTTTTTTTTAACAAGTGAATTTTAACAAGTGAGTTTTATTAATAAAATATTGAATTAAATTATTTGTTATTTATTATTGACTGTGTGAGATATGCGAGTGTTTGAGTGTGTGTTTTTATGGATGTGTGTGATGTGCGAGTTTGTTTTAGGAGTGTGTATGATGTGTGTGTTTTTATGAAAGTATGATTATATGTGTTTGTATCCGAGTGTATAAACATTTGAATGTGTGCCTTTCCCTATTTTGCCTAAAGCATCACTGCAACATTTTCTTTTAAACCCCAGCGCTCAAACCGCAATGCAATACGAAACTTATTTTCAGTGTTGGCACTTTGAGATAAATAAATTGATTTTGCGTTGCAGTTTGGGCACTCGGGCTCAAAAACATTCGCCATCACTGAGCTAGGAGGATTTTCTTTTTGTTATATTATGAGCTAGCTCCATGGACAACTAGAGAAAATCTCAAAAGTTAAACTCCAGCTGTAATTTTACGCAGCATTGGCTACCTGGCTCCTGGGATTTGATCAGTTCTGCTCTATATAGTACAGATTAACTTATCTCAACTGCAATTAAAATTGATCTTTTGTGGCGGTTGCCCTACTTTGTTCACTGGAATGTACTTTCTCTCTGATGTACAATAAAGAATTAAAAAAAAAAAAAAATTGATCTTTTGGGGCTTTGGACCATATGATTTACACAACATGTCTGCCACTTTTTAGGTGCAAGTTAAATTTTAACTGAATATATAATTTAACCTGATATTTTATCAAAAGATCAATTTTAATTCCAGGTTGTAATGCAATTTAACAGGAAAAACACAGTCACATCAGTGGGCAACCATTATGCACTGTATAGCACGCACCCTCTGATGTGCAATGTGTAGGGACAGTGTGATGCACTGTTGAAGCATACCGTGCCATTTACTTTAACTTTATAGAAAGGCCACAAATTACATTTTATTCAACTCTATGCAGAGCAACACTGCCCATCGGGGCAAGTATGAATGAGCCCTTGGACCTTTTAATAATTTACTAGCATAAAATACCTACCTGCAAGCATGTAAAGGGAGATCTTTTGTATAATAAGTATCTTCTTCATCTTCTTCAAAATTTAGCTCACCCAGCAACTGGCTTGTTTTTCCCACACCATCATCTACTGTGCCATTCTGTAAAATTCCATCGGGGCCATTAACCTGCAAAAAGATTTTAAAAATGAAAGTTAGTAGTTTGTTTACATAAGCCAATACATGATTGAAGGAAAGTGTTTTATACAGATTTTATGTACAGAACTAAAAAGTGTGTGTGGGGGGGTAAAAATACAGCAAACATTTTTTGGGGTACATGGAAGATTAATTTCCTATACTGGCACACATGGCTTGCAATATCTAAGGGTTACCAGCAATGCCTATTAAAGGCAAAGGTTCTCCTACAGTAAGAGTGAGCTCTGTGAATGTTAGGAAAATTGTGATAAACTGCAAACTATCCCTGCGCAAGAAATAAGCAGCCACAACTCCTGTTTCCCTTCCAAAAACTGTATTCCAGAAAGAAGTTTGTTTTATCGATAATTTAAAATTACACTATTTTCAGAAGTGAAATCTTAAAAATACATTCGAGTACCTTGACTATTAACAATAATGTATCCTATTTGTGCATCACTCGTCTGTAGATCCTCAAATCATCTCTGAATTCATACCGACACTGTCCTTCCTTCTGGAGGGTGGCTACTTTTCTTCCCCATGGTCCCGGTGTGTGTTGTAAAGTAGCCACCGCTCCAAGCTCACTCCCGGAATGGACCACAATCTCACGTTTAGTTTACTTATTTGCAGGGCTTGAAAAATTTTGGGGTGTCTCACCAGTCAGCATGACCAGACTATAGCCTTGCAATTTATGTTAACATTTTTTTAGGCACACAGCATTCTTTTGGTGGTATTTAATCACCACTGGGGGGTGTTTATTTTTTTACTATATAATGAAAAAAGTATAGCACATTTCGAATAAAAAAAATGTTTTCCCTAAGTTAGGTTAAAAAATGTATTCTTACTCATGTTTTAGGTAAAATAAAAAAGACTGAGTCACATCGGGAAAAATAGACACCAAACACGTCAAGCCTTAAAATTGTGCGCGCCTGCAAAAATCACAAAAAACTACCACAATGAAAATTGGCCAAAGGCGACGGTTTAAAACGATTTTACTGCTCATCAGTTTAGTGTGATCGGTGATTAATAGGACTAAAATTATTGGTCACACTGAGACGTTCGCAGCGATATGTAACACATGTGGCACAATAGGCGCAATCGTCGTTTTCGCATTTAGGCGCACCCGACATGTTTGTATGTTGAGGGCGGGGGACTTAAAAAAAACATAAATTAGCGCTTTTTTATGCTTATTTAATTTTATTATTACTCTTATTTTTTTACATTTAACTTTATTGCCATCACATAGGGGGGCTAAGAAATTCCCTATGTGCTGGACAATTTACATGACAGGTCCTCTTTATGGAGACATCAGGGGTCTCCAAGACCCGTTACCTAGGGACCCCCAGAGAAGCTAGAGACGCCCGATTGCTTGAATGTAAAGCTCCCTGCCGGCTAATTACAACAGTCGGCCGGGAAGCTACTCGTCACAGACGAGAGGAAGAGCGGATTTTTCAAGGCCTGCTTATTTTTATGGAGACTGTAGTTTATCACGTGAGAGAGTTTGGGGCAGTGGCTACTTTTACTTACGTGGTGGGCCATTGCAGTGAATGGCACCGTACCCACGCCCTTGGGATCAAAATACCGAAAGCACTATTTTGATCGCACCACACCGGACCAGACCGCAGACACAAATGCGATTCCGTGCGGATTGTGGCCGGAGGGCGTGGCTAGGGTGCCATTTACTTCAATGGCCAGCCACGTCCCCTCCTGCCCCACAAAAAAGTGAGGCGGCCGCAATGCGATGCAGTGCGTTCCGGCCAGAATCAGACCGGAACGCACTGCATCTGGTGTGAACGTACCCTTAAGTTTCAACTCCTGAGATTAGTGTCACTTTAATATTGTTTAATAAATAGCTTTTAAACTAAACCTGTAGTGATGTCAAAATAAAAAAGGTTTTAGAACAGCAAGTGCTAAAACATGTTAGGACGATCATTTACATAGTGTTCAACAGAGAACTGTCAAAGTACCGTTGCATATTTTGATATTTTCTAAAAGAAATCAAGAAGAAAAAAAAATATCTGCCTACAGGATATAGCCATTTGTTAGTTACCTGTGATTGGGGCATTCGGCCTTACTTATACAGGACACCACTAAGAGTTGAAAGCAGTGACATTTGTTTTTGGAAGAAAAATAGTTTCTATAGTAGCTATAATATGCTCTTACAAGCCACTAATCAGTTATAACAAAGAAAGTTTCACATTTTTATTTTCAATCGATCTATTCCTCATAGTGACCTTTTCACTTCCAAAAAAGAAAACAAAATAAGCAAATTGGTACCCATATAAAAAAGGGACCTATTAAAGAAGAACTAGACCCACCAATTTAACGAGTTCCTAAAACACAATATCAAATACACAGTAACAATTTTCAAGATTAGCAATGTGCTTATTCAAACTCTCAACACTTAGGTACTCAGGCAGCTTGTGTCGTGGCTGATTACATGTGCAGTTCCATGGCGACTGTGGTCTAGATAGGGATTAAGATGATACCTTTCTTGTCTATAAAGCATAAGAGACTGTAGTTCTTTAAGTCTTACTGTGCCAATCTCAAATCTATTGCAGAACTACTTCCGCCTCTGTTGCACAGCTATTGTGCACCCCCCAAATATAAGAGTGCTTGATGTCTGGTCCCCATCCGGGATTAAAAAAATGGGGCAAGAGATTATTATGGATTAAAGTAGAGGTGCTACGAAATGAGAAAAAAAAAAAAAGTCAGGACGAAACTTGAATTTTTTTTTCTAACCTTTTCAAATATTTTTTTTTTACTTTTAGGGGCTTCAAGGAAATATTAGGGGTCTAAACAGATGCCTGATATTTCCCTTTTAAAATAGAAAAAGAGATTGAGGACACAAAGCCTGAAATCTCAGCCTCCAGTGACAGCGCTGCAAGCAGTCTCCGCCGCCACACCAACTCCTTATCTGAGACAGGAGGCTGAACAGTGTGGGAGGTGAGACGACGGCGGCCACTCACAGCGTTCTCCTCCCCCGCACTGCTCGGCCTCCTGTGACAGTTTCTCTCCTCCCCGCTGGACGCTGCGCCAGCAGGGAAGAGAGAAAGCAGGGATGCACCAGTTCAGTGCATGGTAACTCTGTTTCTAGGAACCTTCCAGGACAGCATCAGAGATAGGCTCTCACCGGAACAGGAAACCCATCACCCACACCTAATAAAAAAGGATCACATGCCCTGCATACCTCAGTTAAAATAGAAGAACCGAAGGATACAACACTGTCAGACCATCATCCATATAAATATATTTCAATATAAAAAGACTCTCCAATATCGGGTGGGGATCCCTGCTGTGCTGGAAGGTTCCTAGAAACAGTTGCCTGGTACCCAACTCTAATTTTCTCTAGTCACCTTCCAGGACAGCATCAGAGAGGATAAGCGAGCACCATACTCACAATTAGGGGGGGGGCACAACTTGCGAGACTTTCCTCTCGAAAGCCTGATCTTGGTTGACCATTACGTCAACTCTATAGAGCCTTGACAACGTCAAGAGCTTGGACCAGGTAGCTCTGATCTGGTGTAGCCCCCACACTTTATGCCCAATAAGAGGGCAAAGCCCTCTAAAGAGCGTGCCAAAATATGCTCTAGTGTTTTTAAATTTTTTTTTAGATCGTAAGCTTGTTTGATTGCTAATTTAATTCACCTTCCTATAGAGCTTTCAGAAGCTCTCAGGCCCTCTTTTGGTCTTGAAAATAGTAGGAAACAGAATGTTCAATTTCCTGATGCTTTTAGTCTTGTTCCTAACATGACTAACATGTGGTTATAAAAATGCACCAAGTATAAACTTGGATGATAATACAAAGGCTGAGCTTCATAACTATATAACGGATCATGCTTTCACCAAAGCAGAACCCCATTATCTTGTAGAATGTATAGTTACATAACTATACAAAGTATGAACTCATGATAATACTGAGCTTCATAACTACATAGCGACCAAAAATGCCTTATTGAAACTAATCAGTTAACGTGTAGACAGTTCAGATATACAGAAGAACTCATATGAATCCCATACTGAGATTCCCAACTGCCCTCTGAACCAACGATACTTCCACAAAAATAGAAAGTTGGTTGCTTTGGAGGCAGACCAATATGCTCATACACATGGTATACAGATACTGAAATTCAGTATCTGTGTATACCATACACAGATATGCGCACACTGCCCGTTCAGCATTGCGGTCATCGGAAGCCCGCCCCTCAGCGGGGCAGGCTTTCAATAAATCGCAAGTACGATCTGCCTGTCCAAGATGGGCAGATGGTACGAGCTTTTAATAAGCTTACGACCAAAAGTCTTGCGATAGCAAAACCAGCTAACAAGCTCTCATCCTGGACTGGGAAAGCGCTGCACACTCTGCATTGTATCCAGAGTAATCAGTAAAGACCCCCCACACCTGTGAGGCAGACACACCCAGGCAGCTACAATCAATGGATCAGCTCCACCTGTGAGCAAATGATAGATTGGAAGAAAAAAAAACTACACCTGAAAAGGTTAGATGCTTGCTATCATACAGAGAGAGACAAGAGTCAACACACTTAAGGTGCCCATACACCTTACGATTATCGGACGAAACTTTTCGTCCGATGATCGAACCGTCGTACGATTTTCGTACGACGGCCCCATCCTGCCCCGATGATCGCAAGATTAATTTAGCCGTAATTAACTAAAAGCACCTGGACATTATGCGGTAAATGATTTGCCGTATTTTTGTTAGCGCAAGCGCAGTGTAGATCGTACGACTTTTGAGGGACGGAAACGCCAGCAACCTTACGAAAATCGTACGATCTAGCAAAGTTTTCAAACATGCTTGACCGCCAAAAGTCGTACGATTGTACAGTACTATCGGTCGGGCACTCTATTCACACGTTACGATTGTCGTACGAAAAGTCGATCGCGTACGATAATCGTAAGGTGTATGGGCACCTTTAAGCTCGCCATACACCTTACAACCATCGCAAGTATGATCTGCCTGTCCAAGATGGGCAGATCGT